GGCTTACAAGGCTAGTGTTCTGACCGCTAGACCACCGTAGCGGTAATTACAAATACAATTGAAAATAATAATAATAATTCAAATACTTTTTCTTACATTTCTGTAGACGCAGGTGTACATATAAAAGCTGACCTTTGTCAGGCCGTTCTTCCTAAAGACCCATCAGTCTTCTTGACACGGTCGGCAAGCTCTGCGAGAGGATCCTGTTAACTAGGGTCCTACACGAGGTGAACGGACGCGAGCTGGGTTTCGACCCAGACACAGCACGGCGATGCAGCTGGCTCGCCTCGTTGAAAGGGTCAACAGGAACTTTGACGAGAGGCGGCTAACCGGCGCGGTTTTCCTGGACGTGGCCAAAGCCTTTGATACAGTCTGGGTCGAAGGCATCCTCCACAAGCTGACCGACCTCAACTTTCCGTCGTACCTGGTGAAAACCATCTCATCCTACCTCGCTGGCCGGAAATTCCAAACGTCCTTCCAGTCGGCCATGCGGCCCGGGGTTGTGCAGGGCAGACTCGTCTCCCCTGTGCTCTTCAGTCTGTATGTCAACGACATGCCCACACCGTTCCGCCACGTCGAGTTAGCGCAGTTCGCGGATGACACGGCTCTCGTGGCCACATCCCCTAGTCCAACGCTTCTTGTCGGGTATCTGGAGACCTACATCGGTAGACTGGAGCTCTAGCTCAGAGCCTGGAGGATTGCTATCAACGTCTCGAAGAGCACCGCGGTTCTCTTCGTCAAGACCGGGAGACGCATCCAACAGCCTAGAGCGGTGCAGTTTCTCGAACAACCGATACAATGGGTCAAAACAGCGCGGTATCTAGGGGTCATCCTTGACGCCAGGCTTACCTGGTCGGCGCACGTCAACCAGGTGGGAAAGAGGGCGGCGCAACTATTGGGCGTGCTAGGCCCGCTCCTTAATAGGAGAAGTGGTCTGTCCATCGAGAACGGTGTGCTGATCTATAAGCAGCTCATCCGTCCCATGATGGAATACGCATGCCCGATCTCGAGGTCAGTTGCCAGCAGCCACGTCAGGAAGCTGCAAGTGTTGCAATCTAAGTGTCTTCGCATTGCTACTGGCGCGACTTGGTGCGTTAGTAACAGGCAAATACACGAGGATTTGGGGGATCCCGCTCTTTGCCGACCACATCAGAGCAATGATAAAAGATTTGACTCGAAGTCAGCTGGTGTGGGGAACCCCTTAGTCCGGCAACTCGGGAGGCACTCGTGCCGAACGAGGGCTGTCAGAGGTCACCCAAGGGCAACCGAGGGGGACTGATGTTCAGTAGGCCAGCCGAGGCTGTCCCCAAAAGACGGCCAAGTCGGCGCAACGAGTGGTTAGTCCACTTTTCTACTCTGACTGAGGTTTTCCGTGCTTTTCCTCAGTTGTATGGCGAATGCCAGGGTATAACTTAATAGGGGCACGGCCCGTTACCCCCGATCACGGAGGCCCTCAGCTGAAATCCCCCCCCCAAGCCGCAGAGGCCTTCAGCCGAAACGGCCCCCCCCTCTCTGGGTTCAAACCCCAGAGATCCAACCAACCAAATTCCTTTGGACAACTTGCCTGACGGGATAACCTCCCATCAGCAGCAACAGATCCCAGTTTGAATGGTCGAGGCTCCAGCCACGGCGTAACCCTGTTAGCGTCAGCAAAATTTTCGTTTTTTTTTTTTTTATATTAAGACCGTTTACCATTTCCAGCAATGCGCCTTGAGTGCAGGCACGCGGGAATGGTGTTACCTAGGAAGGGACGATGTCTTGCTCTCGCGCAGGACTCCGCCCTCAGTTAGCTTTTTGGTTGGTTGGTACACGGTCTATGCTTGACGCGGTCTGTCCCTCACCCGGTTTGTGTCGAACCAGGTATTTGCAGAGACGGCTTCGCAGGGATCGGACCATAGAGAGAACGATTCGTGCAGAGACCGACTGCGGCAGATACCGGGTCGCTCAAAGACAGGGTGCGGCAGAGACCAGGTCATGCAGAAAATGGTTCTGGCATGAATCAGGCGGGGAGAATTTTGAAAGGAATTTCAAAATTTTCGCAACTCCCAAAGATGTAGGAAAATGTCCAAAAAGCCCAAAAATCTAAAAAAAATTGATAAATTCCGACATCAAATTTTTTTTCTCGAAAATCTTATATTTTCGCATTTCATGACATGTAAGTGTGCAGGTGGTAGGACATTGCACTCAGAGATACATAAGCAGGAAGTAATACCACAACAGAGGAAGGAATCAATCATTGTCCCTGTTTACAAAACAGGAGAAAACTGAATCAAGTAACTTCCTAGGTATTTCTCTTTTGTCAAATATTCTTCTGGCACGGTTAACACCATTTATGAATGAAATTATTGGGGATGACCAATGTCAACTATTGACCAGATCTCTTGCAAATAATAGAGAAAAGTGGGAGCATAATAGGTCAGTATATCAACTATTTGTGGACTTTAGGATGGCATATGACTCAGAAGAGAGGCATTTTGATTGAGTTTGGAACACCAAAGAAATTTATGTTAATTAAGATGTGTACGAATTGGGTATCTAGTAGAGTTCATGTAGGTAACCTTCTATCAGATCTGTTCCCAGATCACAATGGCCTATAACAGTGGGATGCTTTATCCCCAGTACTTGTTAATTTTGCTCTAGGACATGTCATCAGGAAAATCAGAGGGAATCAGGATGGGCACAAATTGAATTTTCTGCACCAGGTACTTACGTATGCTAGTAAAGCATCCCACTACATGCCTATGCAGGCACTTGGGGGGAGCGGAGGTATAGCTCCTACTCTTTCTTGACCTCAGCACTAGATGGGGGTGAGTGGTCAGCATCACGCCCCGGCCACGCTTTACTCCTGGGAAAGGGCCCCGGTACCCATTGGATAGGAGGCTGGGTGGGCCCAAGAGCCGGTATGGATCCAGAGGCTAGAGGAAAATTCCTCTGCGCCCGTTGGGGATTGAACCCTGATCGCCCACCCCATAGCTAGTCACTATACTGACTGAGCTTTCCCGGCTCATCACTTACTTATGCTGCTGATATCAATTTACTGGGGGATGGTGTGGGTATTATAACCTAGAATGCAGAAACTCTCCTACAGGCTAATAAGGAAGTAGATGTAGAACTAAATTTAGACAAAAGTAAATAGATGGGCATAATATGGGATCAACAACAGCAGAACATATTTATAAGTAACACATCATCTGGGAACAACAATAACAAATAGAAATAAGGTCCATGATGAAATTAAGAGCAAAATACATTCATGGAATGCTTGCTTTTATTCAATTCACTATCCAAAACACTGAAGATCAGGATATATAAAACAATAATTTTGCCTGTTGTCTAGTATGGTTGTGAAACATGGTCTCTTACCTTGAAGGAAGAAAGTAGATTACAAGTGATTGAAAACAAGCTATATGAACCTAGGAGGGATAAAATAAGTGGGGAATTTAGAATATTACATAAAGAGGAGCTGCATGAATTGCACGGATCACCTAGCATAGTGAGGATAGTGAAATCTAGGAGGCTCCCTTGGGCTGGACGTGTATCATGCATGGGGGTGGCAAGGGGTGCATACAGAATTATGGTGGGGAATCCATCGGGAAAACAACCACTGGGTAGACCAAGAAAGAGATAGGAGGATAATATCAAGATGGATCTTAGGGAGGTGGGCTCTGAGGATGGCAAATGGATGGAGTTGTATCAGGATCATGGCCAGTGGCAAGTTTTGGTGTTGTCTGTGTTGAACATGCGAGTTCTGCTACAGGGAAGTTACAGACAATGAAAAGCAATGAAATGGTTGGGGGAAGGAGAGAAAAGAGGAAGCTACAATTGGTGGTGATGTTTACTACTGGGATGAACATAAACAAAGAAATGTTAACAAATACTGAGGAGACAGGTGACACATATCATAAACGGTAAATCCAGAGAAAGAAACATTATATACCATAAGTCTAATTTCAGGTATTATTCTAGAAAAAGTATAGAATGATAATTGGTGTTACAAAAAACCATAAGAATTATTAAAGACTTGGTACACACAATTTTGCTTCACTGATTTTGTAATTTATGTTTTCAATTGATGCTTAGCAGTTGGGTACACAACTCTATACCTGCTTTTAATAGGAGATGCTGAGTCACTCGCTTGATTTCCACTTATGGTTTGTTGATTTCTCCCATATTGTAACGCAGCTTGTATCAGTTCTGGCTTCGGTCGTGTAGCTGATGAAATTCGGAAAGTCAGGCATAACGATCTTAGTTCTGGAACTTTCAGCAAATTCAGAAGAACTTCTAATTTTTCAGAACTGCAATTATTTTAAATATAGAAAGAGGACTTTTACTTTGTTTCTTTTGTACAAACTGATCAATAAATGCAATATATATTGCATTTATTGATCAGTTTGTACAAAAGAAACAAAGTCAAAGTCCTCTATTTGATACTACTGTACTCCCAACAATCAGTTTCCGAGAAACAAATGAATCGGTAGAGACAAAACAAATCCTATACAGTATATAAATTAAAAATTTGACAGCATTTATTAACACACATACATTACACCCAAGGTACACCTTAGCACCATACTCAGGTGAGTAGTCAGATTCATAGTCCAGTGTCTTTATCTTCTGTGGAAGAGCCCATGACACCCATCAGATTGGGACCAAGTAAGCCCCATAGCCAGTCTGGATTGGTAGATAAAAGAAAAATATATGTTCCCTGCTGAAAATTGAATCCTTCCTGTCCAGCCTGTTATGTCAGCATGTAAGCTATTCTGGCTCACTTTAAATTACACATAAAAACTGGAAGGAATCACAGGTATTAGAACTCTGTGGACCTTGGATGGAGACATTATACATACCTGATGTTACAAAGCCAGATACTTCAAGTTCAATGAAAGCTGCAGGCACATTAATATGATCATATTTTATATCAGACACACGGTGCCAGGTATATTTTCTGCTCAGCATTCTCACATAAAGAGCCTTCACTTGGTACTCTAATTTCTGAAAGCTGGTTACAGTCATAACTTCCACCTCACTAAGAAGTGATAACAAGTCTTTGTCCTTCAAAGCTTCAGCTACTATAGTCTCAAAATAGCCAATGTATTCATGTGGGTAGAATTCAGATACTGAGCTCTGATTTTCTGGATCTGTTGATGCAACACATCTTGACTGTGTCTCAGTACTGCAGTTGTCAAATTTCAGTGTTTACATGCCTTAGCTTTGTTTTGACATACAGTTCTGTACCTCAGGTAGAGATTTCTGCCCACTCATCAGTATCTCAAAACTGTTACGCTTCACCACACAGAATTTACTGGGATGCTGAGAGAGTTCATGTGATAATTTAACACTTTGTGACTGAGGATGAGTTATCTGTAGCTCACCGATGGTTTTAGCAGGTTGCATACATTTGTTTCCTAAAGTATTACACAGAAATGTAAGGCTCTGTGAATGTACAGCAGCTGTACACCCTGAAGAAGTAACTGAACTACCAGACAGAGATCCAGATACTGTAAATTTATGGACAACAGATACATTATTGCTTCTGGAAGTGTGATCTGATGTTTCCTTTTCCTTGAAATCTGGTGATCCACATGCTTCTTTACCTTTTCTCTTAACACGTAAACATACTGATATGTGTACGCTCTGTTCTTGTTCATGCGCAAGTGCTTTCTTTACAAGCAACAGAGTTACCAGCAGATGAGCTTTGCCTAATTTCAGACACTACATCTGGATTATGTACTAACATATTCTTATTTTTGGAAACCAATTTTGTTTTCTTTCCTTTGTCCGATGACAGACTGCAAGCATCATTTTGTTTTCTCTCAGTATCAGAGAACAGTAATGAAATATTATAATGTAGTTTATTCACATCTAATTCCAACTTTGTACCTGATGGTGGTGATGCTTTATGGTCTGTTGCCTTTCCTCCGTCTAAAGAACTATGCATATTCTCAGACAGGACTGAAACTTGTTTGTCTGATACTGAAGTCAAGGAAACTCCACTACTTTTTGAAAAATAACATTCTACAGACTTTTCTCTCAGATGTAATGAACTCTTGCTGTTAAACAGTTCCCAGTCTACACTTGATCCTTTCACAATTTTAGCTTCCTTATGTGATGGCACAGTGTTACAGACAGGTGACATTAACGAATCAGATTCCTCTTCCGTGATTACTATTAAGGGTGGAGGTTTTTTCACATTTGAGATACGACATTTCATATCTGTAACATTTGAAACATATGTTGCACTACTGCTCTTCTTTCTGCGGGCCTCCGTTCCAGTACAACAGAGTCTGTAGACGAATTACTACTTTTTTACATGCTTGTTAACTCCTCTAATGATGATTTACTCTGTAAGACTGTAGAATGTTCATGGTCAGATAAACATGACTGTTTGGAACTGTTTTCTTCCTCTACTGACAGGATATCATTCCCCTTCTTCAGATGTGAACCATTATTCTCTGAAGCTTTATTTAATTCATTGTCCTTCCTCACATCTGTCTTTCCTATACTCATTTTAGATGGTGAAACTAGAGTGTGTTCCAAGGGAAATCCACACTGCCTTATTACGTTTGAATCTATTCTTAGAGGCATTTTAGCTTTATTTGGAATTTTATTTTGTGAGGTCTTTGATCTGGGCAATACAATTTTAAGATCTGAAGACAATGCAGGTTGATCTCCCACATTTGACTGCTTCCTTGATAATGGAACACTTTTAATTGATTCCCTCTCTACTGGAACTTTTGGGGATCCAGTGGATAATCCAGACACCATGCCTCAAGTAGTTGTTACGGGCATTACATTTTTTAATGTAGCAGTACAAGTATCAGTGTTATTTTTTGGGTTCATTATTTTGTATTCTAAAACTTCACAATCTTCTAAAGGTAATGTAGAATAAGTTCTCGTGTATGAAGCTCTTCCAGGAAACATTTTATTTTTGCAATATAATGGTAGAATTTCCAGTGTTATTTTCCGAGATTTGCAGACTATCTTGGGTTATGTTCTTCAGTGAAATGCTTGTGTCTTCTAATATTAATTCTCTGTTAGCAACTGCTTTTACTGTATTTAAAGAAACCTTTGGTCTGTTTTCTAATTCTGAAACATCACTTGCAATGACAATGTTTCTACCCTTTGAAGAAAATTTTGTTGCACTATTTGACACCACTGCACTCTGATCAACATAAGATAAGTCAGTACTAATATGGCTATGCAAGCTCTTGCTTTTGATTGCCAGGCATTCGACTCCTTTTCCTGTTGTGTCAGTGTAAGCTGATAGATTGGGCACTCTGGTAACAGAATGCTTAACTTTATCCCTTGTGCATGAATATTCATTAAATTTTGCACAACACTTCTTGTCACATTCTAGCTTCATTTTTTATCCTTTGTGCATCACTTAGTGATATTCTAGGAGATGTGCTTATTTGACTAATAACCTTTACGGTATTATCCACAGTTGATTCTCCATCCTGAAACACTGATATGTTTCCTCTTTGTATTCCATCAACAGATAAGTTCTGATTTTTTATTTCAGCTACTATTATGTCTTTTTCATTTTCCTGTGAGCCGGCATAAGAGGAAGATGGTGTTTGAAAAGAAGTCATTCTGGGATTTTTGTGTAAACTGAAAGGCACAATAAATTCACCTCGCATATCAGATGTTCTTTCCCTTTCAGTTTCTTGCGTACAAAGAGATCACTGTTCCTTCATTCAAACAAAGTCTAATACTTGTCATCTGTTACTCTGCTTCTTAGATGTTCTCTTCTATAATAATGCATAAAAATGGTTGCTTCAGCATCAAGTTACTCCTGAAAGAATTTTTCTTTCCTCTTCTATCTGAAACAATAAGACCATTAACAAATGGCGTTAACATGGGCAAGTCATAATCATTCAATGTCAACTTAATTTCTGTACTCCTTACTCCAAAATTACATTCAACATTCCTGGCGAAATATTTCTTCCGCAACAACAACTGCCACCACTGCTCCTGCCGCTGACAACCACATCACTCTTCCCTATAGCACTGGCTGTACATCTATACTGTCAGAGACACTCCTATCAAGCTAAGTATCTCACCAAAGGCTTATAACGCCCAAGTCAATGTAATAAGAACAAAGCAAACAAAATACCACTTGGTGTGCATTTTTTACCGGTACCATGATCTCATTCAGTCTTCACGGTATGAACAAATACATGTTATTTGTTCCCTTTAAAGCCCAGTGGTAACTATGTACCACCTGCTTCAACAATACATAACTCTGCATTTTGACCACCGTGTATATGTGGATTTTGTATGATTCACACTGGAAAATGTTTACGAGCACTAACCAACCAATCGTTGTAATGTATAATTGTTGTGCTTTCTTTGCAGCAGAAAGTGAACCTTTAAATATTATATAGTTGCGCTTCGGCTTCAAAGTGTTAAATAATGAATTTGAAAGGTGTTTAGCTTAAGGTGTATTAAAGTTTCCTAAAAAAATGTATAACACATTGAGTGAATGAAATAAAGACATTTTAACAAACTAAATCATTACATACATAAATAACGGCACTTACTGAATTAGCAAATCTAGCACAGGTGTTCAAAATGACCACAGCTGACAACAATGAGCAACTGACTGACAAATGGCCACCAAAGTTGCTGCTGTGTATACAACTTTTTGAGACACCTTCTATAAGCTTGACTTTTAGCAAATAACATGGACCCCCATCACCTGTTACATTAGTCAGCTTTAATCTTGTAGAAGATGGCTATCGTCTGGGTTGTTGCACCATGTAGTCTGGTAGAAGTTTACTGATGTTTCAGAGGTTCCTGATGCCTCCAGTATCACCCTGATGATGGAGGCAGCAAGGACCTCTGAAATGTTGGAAAACTTCTACCAGACCAAACATTGCAACAACCCAGAAGACAGCCATCTTCAGACTCACCACTGTGAAAAACTATGAGTCGGGGTAGCTCAGTCAGTATAGTGACTAGCTATGGGCTGGACGACTGGGGTTCGATCCCCGATGGGGGCAGAGGATTTTTCCTCTAGCCTCTGCGTCCAGACCGGCTCTGGGGCCCACCCAGCCTCCTGTCCAATGGGTACTGAAGTTCTTTCCCAGGGGTAAAGCGCGGCCGGGGCATGATGTTGACCACTCACCCCCATCTAGTGACGAGGTCAAGAAAGAGTTGGAGCTGTACCTCCACTCCCCTCAAACACCTACATGTGTGTAGTGAGACAGGTAAGCTGTGAAAACCTCAAATTCTACAATTTAATCCTGTATTAAGCAGAAAGGGAAAACCTGGTAGGAAAATGCCTGTCCCCATATAGCAGCATCCAATTACATTGCTTTAATTTTCACAAATCTATTACTTTGTTACTAACATCTCTGAATGAAAGTTGCATGAGACTGGTACCTCACTGACTAGTTTGCTTGCATACCAGGACCCCAAGCTTTGTAAGTAGTAGTAGAATACCCCCTTATCACCCATCAACCCACAGCTGACCATTTAAGGACATGCTTCCAGATTCATGCTGCTACCTATAAAAATATCTGTGTACTAACGTATCAACTGCATAAGGCAAATATGCAGAAAGTGAAACTACAGCACTAAAGATGATAAAGGCCAATCAGACACCCATGCTCTACATACCTGAAAGGTACATGCGCGGCTCTGTCCACAAAAAACGTAATGACACGTCCTAGTGTCAGGAATGACTGATCAATATTTCCTAATCCACCACCAACGGCAGCTTGCCATTCAATATTCTCACTACGGGCCACATCAACAAGGTTCAATTTCCCTACTTTGGGGGGATTTTCACCTTCCGTTGGAACGTCGATGGTAACTGAAAATATCGTGCGAGTGCAGCTGCTGAAATAAAACAATTCAGTAGGCAAACAAACTTTACAACAAATCTACATGTAATCTCTGCATAATTCAGTATTAGCAGGAAATAAGAAATAAATGCTGCAGCTAACTTTTACAAAACACTTCTACTTTTAGTTGCTTTAGTATTTAATATTGTATTGATCATTTAAAGCAAAGTGTCCCAACTGCTTATACAATCAGTAACTCTTCATTTTATACATACGGGTTTCACATGATTCTCAGTGTAAACAGGGATTATTTCAGATGATTATAATGAACTTAATTCAGTCATTATCAAAAACACTCTCATTCAGTTTCCTCCTCTGTCAATGCTCATAATTTTTTTCACTCCCATGACTGAACCTTGGTGGAGCACGTAAATATACAGAAAGACTACAGGGTCTACTGAATGTGTAGAGATCAGCTAGAAACTTAAACAGGGAAGTTGTAAGCTGCCCCCATACAGTGCAGACTAAACAAAATGCATAATAAATACAAGAGGAAAGGGAGAGAACATATGAGAGGAGAAAAATATCCAAAGTCAACTGATCTAAATGGATCTTTGAACAATCTCTGTTTGTTAGCAATGCAATCTTTTGTCATCTTATTCAAGTAAAAGGAAAGGTACACTAAATCAACTTACATCAACACAGGAAGTGACTATGCCCCTCTGACATAGTAACTTCATCAAAACACAGGTCTTCCAAGAGATGCTCCCTGTAGGTTTACGTACTACAAATTTGTATTAATTCCTTGTCACTCTGAATTGTGCTACCCACCACACGCATTTCATCCATCTTGGACTGCACATTGTAATAATACATGGCAGAGAACAAATTATAAAACTCCTCATTCTGGAACATTCACCAGACTCCTGTCACTACGTCCCTCCCTGGTCCAAATAGTTGCCATAGCAACATATTCTCAATCTACATTTGCAAGGAAGATCAAGATTTTTTTTGGAAAGAAGAGGTTATTTTCCTTTTGGTTAAAAGTACCTGCAAACTGTGCATGTAAATATGCAAAATTTTAATAACACTAATACTGACATTAGATATATCTGTATCATGTCCTTACATGTTTCACTATTACTTATTCAATAACAGTGAAAAGAGTGTTTGTACATACATTAAACAACAAAACCAGTCTTGTGACAAAATCCTCTAAGGTGACCAAACAGCTGCATCAACTCAGAAGAGAAGTTCAGCATTTCAGACTTTGTCTTCATCATAAAGCAATGTGATGGCTACCCACAGTTAATGTTTACACACAAGATGCCACATGCAAGTACTACAATGAGGGATTTATGGAATGCAAATAAATTCTATTCTACTATATTCAGTGATATACTCTGCCTTCATCTTTGTTGTGCTAATCTTTTGCTCAGGGTGTATGCAGTCTCTGCTGTATAAAAAATTGACACCATTACAACCAGTTGCTTATCTTTGATGCTGAGAACAAGTAGATCCTGCTTCCATAAAAAAAAACCTCTCCTTTTACAAAGTCCTGGCTGACCTGTCATCTAAACATTCTGAAATGTCTTCTTAGTAGCCTTCAGATGATTATGATGAACTTAATCCAGGCGTTCTGTGCAGCAGCGCTAAATTGATACCCTTATGTTTTAGTCTTCTGCATGTCGCGTCGAGTGGCTAGTACGCTTGTTCTTATTTGGAGATCCGATTTTGATTCTAGGCCTCGAGGCTTCTTAACTGACTGTAGGAGTTTCTACTTACCTAGTCCCTCAGGGACATTTCTGGGACAGAATATGAAGCCATTATCCAATTGTTCCACCTCCTTTCCAGTTATCATCCATAACGATGCAATAATTTGACGCTACATGACCCATGCAGATAAAAAGATGCCGTTAAATAACCTGAGAATAGAAAATGAAAATAACTTTTGCTGTTTTCCTCCCTATACTTGTTTATTGTCGTTTCTTTATTCCCTTCTAGTGATAGAGATAAAAGACATGGGGGAACCAGTCTAAAATGATGTACTTTGATAAAATAACACAGCTAGTGTTCTTCCAAGGTGATGGCAAAGTGTATAGTTGCCCAAGGACAGTACTTTGGGGGCAGTGTTGTGTTATATCAAATTTGCATAATTGGTTGGTGATAATAAATCCATATCAGAATTTTCTGAACCAACTTTATATATGGAATGCAGCATTCTCTTCACAAATTAGACCAAATTTCTTAATTGTCTTAATATAAAAATATAAAGTGAGATAACTTTCCTTCTGAAGTAAACAGGGTTAAAGTCTTAACAGGATCATCACTTGGTCTGAGCTGTGCAATTGCATGGAATCAAAATATTGTGTACACTAGCAGACCTTTCCTTTTTAGTACGCATATTTCCTAGCTCTCATCATAAATTATAAAAGAGGAAGCACGGCTATGTATGAATTAAATTTTTTTTATGTGCAATCTTATCTTCCCTATGAATGCTAAATCCCCCCCCCCCAGATCCATCTCATCCTTCTTTGTTTTATAATCTTTATAATCATTATTCTATTCAGTTATGAGTACAAATTCCGCCTTCATTAAAAATTGGCTAAGCAATATGAGTTTCATAATCCCACATCTTCAAAATACTGTGTCAATTTGTAAGCATATAACTATTCTTATTTACCAAGATAGTTCCAGGTTGGTCCTTTTTGAATTAATTTATGCCTGTAATCTGTAATTTATAATCACCTACCTACACAGATTTAAGCATCCAAATAAAAATATGCACCATAACTTTTTGCCAGAATGTCTTCTTAGTGTAAATGAAATTGTAGCATCATTACTATGCTAATTAGCTTCACTGGGAAAATTGACAACTGTCCTGCTGCATTTTAACATTTGTCTGTACTCTGAATAGAAATACAAATGTATTTTGTATTAACATCCACAGATGTCATTTTAAATCTCTGGATTTGAAGCATAACTAAGCCCTCTTACCTCTGTGACTTTGCAAAAGTGTGGTTCTCCTGCCACTTACAGGCTCGAGCTACTTGCTCCATGTATTATATTTCAAACCCTGATAAGATGTGAATTTCTGTGCAGCAAATGAGATTCTCTTTTAACTGCAAACCATAATATGAGTGTATTTGTAAAGTGCATATTAATTTCATAATTAATGATTATGGTCTCACATCCTATCAATGATTTCATGTAGTGTTTAACACTTGCTGCTTCCAAATTTAATAAACGTTTTAAATCTAAAAAAAAATGAGCTGCACTTTAAGACAATAAATTCTTAAAATGTTGCAAAATCAGTTGTAATATTTACCTCTTTCACTGTATTAAATACTGGCAAATTAAGTTGAGTTTCTCCACCTTTACCTAGTGACACACCTCTGACAACTTCTGTTCCATATTCAATAGCTTGCTTACTATGAAAAGTTACTTGTTTACCTGTGAAATCAATAACATATAACTTTGGTAGCTGAGTTAAGTTTCAGATTTGCACGAGCAGCTGTGTAATTTGTTCGAACATTATTAAATTTTGGTCCTGAAAAATATAATTAAACACACCAATTTATTAAAATATAACAGATGTGAATTTTACTCATTAAAGAAGTCTAAATGGCGATACTTGAAGTCTGTCCCTTACATCAAATGTCATTTCCGTGTTGACTAGCTATTTAAATAAAAAATATAAATATTCATACAATTACTGTCCTGTACTCGTGTACTAAATCAAATAATACCTATAACCAGTTTATCTTAATGCATGGGATATATCTACACCAGGGGTGGGGAACCTTTTCATGTTGAAAGTCCTCATTAATTTAGCTGTAATCAAATAAGGCCGCATTCAAGAAACTTCAATTAGATATACTTAAAAGTGTACATTATTTTGTAAAAATCTAACTATGTATTTAATAATTTAAAAAAATAAAAACTATTTTGTTAATTTTAAAGTTAACTAATCTTTTAATGACTTTGTTGTGTCTGCTTTTTGTTGGAAAGCATTTGAATATTTGGTTGCAGCGAGGTCAGAAGTTTCAGTTGATCCTAAGATTTGTTCTGTAGAATCTGGATTCAGTCAAAAGGCCGCACTTAAGGAACTACACCTATCCTTCTGTCTATAATTGCATGCAAAGGTCACTATTTATATATAACACCATAAAACAGCATATAACCAACAAATTGTATTTTTATATTGTATAAGGACTACACAAATCTGAAAATACGTAGGTTACATATTCAAACCCACATAAATATAAATAGCCTCTATTGAATTATCGCTGCCATTGCGTTGATGGGTCAAAGCATAAATCACTTGGGTGTGTTCTTATTTACAATCTCTCTGCATTTGAATATTCTCTAAAGACCAATCATATCATTGGTTCTCGGTTTATGAATTCGAGAGCAACGGCTTCATTGCATGTTTATTTCTTGTCTAACAAAATGGCCGGAAGTAAGGAAATGGGCAGCAGTCAAGCTATAAAGTGTTTTGTTCGAATAAGGTAAGATACCTACTTTTGAAATTGTGTGTATGTTCTCCGGAATTTGTTAATGAAATCTCCCTGAATATGTTTTTCAGTTATCGCTGAATAGATTATAATTTATTTACATTCCATACATCCTTCACAGGCACAAGCCAAGGGTGTAGAGCATGTCATAGCACAAATACAATACTTCTTTATAATACAAATATAAATTACGTAGGTGTGACAGTCAACTGCAGTATTACTGTGAAAATAATTACACAAGAAAGCATAACCAGTATTGCATACATCTATTCATATTAGCTGAGAATTTCTGAGTGAGGTAAATTATTCTATGATGTCGGAGTGAGGTAGGAGATACCATTTTAGTAACTATTAAACTACTTTACATCTTGATTTAGACTTTTTATAGTGGGGGGGGGAAGATTATCGAGTAGCTTAATTCCTTTATAGTAAATTCCTTCTTATATCTACTGAGTTCCGTGTTTGGCACATGGCATAAAGGTTATGTCTGTATCTTGTACTTATATTGTGGATATCTGAGTTTGTGTGAAAATTTTCTATGTTGTCTACAACAAATGATGATAATGAGAGTAGGAATGCACTAGCTAGTGAAAGAATATTAAGTTTCTTAAACAATTGCTTACATGAGGCTCTCCCTTTAGGGCCTGCCACATTGCTAATGATTTTATTTTGGGTGTAAAATACTTTTTAATGTCTGTTGAGTTCACTCAGAAAGTATTTCTATAAGATGTGATTGAATTGAAGTAAGAAAAGTCAACTAATTTTAAAGTTTTTGTTTTCATGAGTGATGTGACAGGCATAGTAAAGCATGCTAAGTTTAGACATCATGTATTGACTATGTGTTTTCCAATTTAAGTTACTGTCAATTTATAGGGCAGAAAATTGAGTTTCTCTTTCTTCAATTGTTTTATCCTCATACTGTATACCTTCTGTAACACAGTTGTTGTTAGTAGTACAAAATTTAATGTGAGTTTATTGGCTTTAATCCACTTGTTCAAGCTAGCAAAGCCATAATTCATGCAAATTAAAATGTGAAGAGATTTTGCAAATTTCCAGGACAGAATGGCAATTTAGATTGGCTTCATAAATATTTACTTGACCTCTGGATATCTCATATTCAAATGTGGTACATGATATAATGTTACTTGAGCCGTGAACTTATTTTGTCAATGAAATTACAGCAGATTGGTTGGTATGATATTCTTAATGAAGTTCCATACTGAAAGAACAATTGTTCTTAAAATTGTTTTCTTTTCAGTATCCGAAAGTTAATAGTTATTAATATCCATTAATTTAATTTGACACATTTTTCACCAAAACAAATGTTTGGAGAGAGAAACATAAATTGATCACAAATTATTTTATCCTGATAGCATTTATAATAACATTTGATTGAAATACTTGAGCCATTTTTCTCTTATTGAAATGAATGGGAAATAAAACTGTTCTGGATAAGAAGATTGTTGTTTTTGTGGAAATTATCATTTAGACAGCATATCAGGTGGCAAGAGTTTTTTCAGGAGACATAAGTACTATGTATGTGGAAGATCATTGTAAACATTTTTCTGCTCGTGTTTTATGTTCTGTATTGAGGCATGGAAAATTAACTTTGTACAGCTGCAAGAGAAATTTGTTTAAATAAAATGAACCAAATTTGCTAATGCATGTATCATAAGGCATTTTGAATTTGCATGCTTTATCCTGTTTACAGCTTGAAGGATGTGTGTGATTTATACTCATTTATTTATTTTCAGACCTCTG